AATTCTCTAATTTTGGTGAATATTTTTGTCATTTTTGGTAAAAAGTGATATTTTCGACTTCTTGTTAAAAGCCGCAAGTCCAATTGCTTTGATATTACATATATAGGTACTACATGTGGACCTCTCTCAGACTTGTTCATTTTGTAATGATTACTTTAATTATCTAATTTTGGTGAATATTTTTGTCATTTTTGGTAAAAAGTGATATTTTCTTCTTGTTAAAAACCACAATAATTTATGGTGAAAAATGATAATTTTGAATTCTTGTTGAAAACAGCAAGTCCCATTGCATTGATACTATACGTATTGTATTGTTCATTTTCTAATGATATCTTTTGTTCTTTAATTGAAATGTGCATTGCTAACAGCGGAGCTATCTCAGCCGAGAGGCTGCTTGTTTAATTTAAAACAGCCATCTGTTAGCTGTTTTTATTTTCAAGTATCCTTAGAATTTAACTTTTTGACTAATTTTGTTTTTGGTTTTTTTTTCCGGCCTTTCTCTGACAAACTTAATTGTTTTTGTTTAAATTAGGTACAAAGGCAATACATAATAGTTTCATTTGTTTTTGTCTTAATGACATTTTTTTGATATAATTCCTTCTCTCCAGTTTATGCCCTAAATTCAAATGCATCCAAATATAGACAGGAGCTATGTCATTGACAATGGATTATTTTATAAGATGGTTATAACATGGTCCATCATAATTTGTCCACGTTCAAACGTAGTCCGAAAACGGGGACTTATGTTTTGCCCTGTGTGCGTCCGTGCATCTGTGCGTCTGTGCATTCGTGCATCTGTGCGTCCATGCGTCCGTGATCACCTGTATCTCGAACAGGCATGGACCGATTAAGTTCAAACTTGACTCATACATTACACATTATATGGGACATATGCACATGCATTTTTTTCATGATCGATTAACGATAGCCAAATAGCGGCCATTTTAAGACCAAAAATGCATCAAAATCGCACATTTTCACCATTCCGGACCCGGATTTCAGTTATGCATGGACGGATTTTGTTCAAATTTGGTACATACATTAAACATAATAGGACCTTGATGCACGTCATTTTTTTGGGGGGATCGGGTTTGAAATGGTCGACTGGCGGCTATTTTGTTTTAAAGAATTCAGTTCTGGATCCGTATCTGAGACATGCCTGGATTGATCGAGTTCAAACTTCACATACACAAGGTACATCATGTCACAAATATGTATGTGCATTTGTTTCATGATCTCATTAACGATAGCCAAATGGCGGCCGCTTTAAGGCCAAAAATGCATTGAAATCGCACATTTTCACCATTCCGGACCCGTATCTCAGTTATGCATGAACGGATTTTGTTCAAATTTGGTACATACATTGAACATAATAGGACCTTGATGCACGTCATTTTTTTTTCCGGATCAAGGTCGAAATGGCCGACTGGCGGCCATTTTGTTTTAAAGAATTCACTTCTGGATCGTATCCGAGACATGTCTGGATTGATCAAGTTCAAACTTCACACACACAAGGTACATCATGTCACAAATATGTATGTGCATTTGTTTCATGATCCGCTTAACAATAGCTGAATGATGGCCATTTTAAGGCCGAAAATGCATCAAAATCACGTATTTTCACAATTCCGGAACCGGATCTCAGTCATGCATGGATGGATTTTGTTCAGATGTATTGTTACATATGCAGGTGCATTTCGGATCAGACCACTGTAAGTGGTCTGAGATTTCGGTCATGATCTGCTTTGAATGTATATGTCACTCCAATATGAACGGAACGGGAACGTGTCATTTACAATGACTTGTTTATATTTTGTTTTGGTATTAGCAGACTTTAGTTGCATGATATTATGAGATGATTACAAGGATACCTCAATGTATGCACGAAGACAGTACAGCTGGAGTATCAACCGACACGCAGCAGAGGTCGGTGTGATGGTGTACTGTCTTCGTGCATACTTTGAAGTATCCTCGTAATAACTTTATTATTATACATCTTTGCCTTTCAAGGATACATCATGGGAATGCTGAAAATCAAAAAGTTTAGAACAGAATCAACGAACTTCTTTGTGTGGAGTCCGGTCAAACCCTGGTGGCAGCCATGCTTGTTTTTATGACTATAGGACGCTCAAATGCGTAATCATTCCTTATTTGGAACTCCCATTTCCTAATATGGTAGGATGAAAATACACCTAAATTACAGCACGAGTTACGGTGACAGATGTATAATAAAAGTATATACAACTAATATGTGATTTGCAGATTTATTTAAAATTGGAAGACATAACACAGCTGTTGTTTGAATGGTTTTATGATTTTCAAATGCTGGAAACAATGATTACTTTTTGATTTAAAAATTACCTACTTTCTGCCTCATTAGATCAAAACCAGGATAGAGAAAGGATATCTGACGGGTTACAATGGCAACAACCTCAGCAACCTTCACAAGAGAGACCAGAGACTCTTGATAGAAGTGACCTATTTCCAGGCCAGTACCCACAACAACCACAACAACCTGAACATGGTCAGTTACCGTGGAGACCGATGGCACAGAACCCAGGAACCTACCAAAGTGCCCATTTATCAGAGTCACAGCAGCCGCCTCAAACTGAATTACCGTGGCAACAATCAGAAGAGTTACCAGATCTGGATAATTTTCAAAACATATATTTATCGCAACCACAACAGCCACAACAATGGAAACAACCATCAGGAGTGCCAGATATTGATAATTTTAAAAGAACTTACTCATCACAACTACAACAAAATCCATTACCATGGCGACGACAACGTATCGAGGTCCAAGTTAGTCGGCAGTCAGTGGTACCAGATATGGATAAATATCAGCAGCCCCAGTTGTCAGATCCACAGCAACCGCAAAACATTCAGTTACCATGGCAACAACAATCTCATGTACAACCAGATTCAGATCCCTACCAGCCGCACCGATCAGGAGTGATTTTAGAACCACATCAGTCATATGCATTTGATAGTTTACCATCGGTACAAGGAATGTCCAGTCCTTGTCCTCCAGGCTATATAGTGTCAACTAATTCCCAGAGTTGTATAGGTATGTAATTGTCAACGTTCTATTAATATGTAATAACCTCAGGGTTATATCATGTCAACTATTGCCCAGAGTTGTATTCCAACTATTGCCCAGAGTTGTATGTCCAACTATTGCCCAGAGTTGTATTCCAACTATTGCCCAGAGTTGTATTCCAACTATTGCCCAGAGTTGTATTCCAACTATTGCCCAGAGTTGTAT